GCGATCAGCCCTCCTGCTTCCTCCCCGACCAGACATACTGCTCGAAGTGCCTTGATCGCGGCGGCGGAGTGTCGCCAACGAATTCTCTATCCGGAGGTACTTTTCTGCAAGATTGTAAAATCTGGTGAGAGAAACATCGTCCTCAGCCTGCAGTTCTTTCCACAGGTCGGTTTGCGGGCAAACTCCAGCTATTATAAGTGTTCGGATGGACTCTTCTGGAGCGTGAGCCACCTTGTTCAGCTCCCTGTGGAAACGGTCGATGTAGGACTGTAGGGGTTCGTCTCTTTCTTGCCTTATGTTGCTGAGATAGCTCAAAGGCATTGAAAATTTTCGATTGGCTTGGAAATGCCGTAAGAACGTCGTGCTCATCTGAGGCCACGAACTGATTGATCCTGCTGGGAGCGACCTTAACCACCGCTTGGCGTGAGAAGTGAGCGTTACGGCCAAACAGCGGCATTTAGTAAGGTCCGAAACCTGGTGGAGCTCCATCAGGTCTTTGAACTCGTACAAATGATCCTGCGGGTCATGGTTCCCGTCAAATGGTCGCATGTCGGGCATTCTGAACCCTGGTGGGAGTGGAGCAGCTAGCACTTCGGGAGAGAATGGGAATGCAGAGGCGACCTAGGCCTGTTCGCTTTGCTGCTCCCTTAACCTGTCCAGAGCTCGCTGTAGCTCCTCAATTTGCAGTAACGGGCCCAACTGAGGGTTGCTTTCACCCACGCGAGTCCGGCCTTTTCGATTATGGTTCAGGAAAGTCCGGAGGTTGGATTCCTCTTCGCCTCGGCCGGCATTTCCGGCCGCACTTGACACACGCTGGCTAGTGGCGTGTGAAGGCGATGGATTGTGCGGGGCATTTTCACGACCCTCGCAGTGGTACAAACCGCCCCGCGAGGTGTGGGGGCCACCCGCATAACGATCGGGATCATTCTGTTGGCGGTGATATGAATCATCGCGCCTGACATTTTTGCCTAGGTTTGCCTGTGACGTGGCATGGGACAGCTCGGGATTTACTTTTTCGCCGAGTCTCAGCTTCGCCGGCACCCTGCTCGGGGCGCGATTCGTGCTCGCTGGTCCTTGGGAGCCCGTAGGCTTACCTTTTGCCACCTGCTTTCCCTTGCGTCTACGCACTGCAGTGCTCGCGGCACGGGCTATTGCCCTTTGCCGCGCTTTCGCTTGACCTGCAGGCGTCTTTGGCGGTTGCACCGCCCCAGCTGTTGTGGATGACATGCCTTGGTCCAAACGGTCCAACCTCTGGTTGACCGTCTGGAGAGTATTGTCGAACCTCTCCAGGTAGCTTCTAATGGCGGGGTCGAGTTGCGAAGCTGCCGGGATATCTCCCGCAGCATTTTGAGGAACTGGAAGTACCCTGGAGAGGGTATCCCCTTGTGTCAAGGGGACTCCTTCAGGGCGCTGATTAGCTTGCTCAGGTTCTGATTGACGGGCCATTTGTTGCTGTAGGACCAGTAGGTCGAAGATTCTCCTGATGAAGGGTAAACGCTAAATCAGGCCCTCCTTCTAGCGCCAAACTGTTGATGTGTGATTTTGGGCACCAACTAATCGATACGTGTGCAGCGTTGATTGACCAAGAAGCACACGTGATTGTGAGTAAAAAGGAAATAAATGCAATAAGAGCTTTTAAAGTGGTTCGGATGCTAAGGTAGCAAATCCTACATCCACTGATTTGTATTAATATGGTGGGTCAGGTCGCTAAAGCGGACTGACTTACAAATGATTGAAAAGTAAAAATACAGAGCCTTTTTTGAGAGAGAGAGAGAGAGAGAGAGAGAGAGAGTAAATGTCAAAATGATCGAATCCCCTTAATGAAGGGGTCGTCTTCTTCTTATACCAAGCTGAATGCGTGTAATCATCATTAAATCCTTGGGTTGGTGTGAATGTCAGAACATAATCAGGCTTTACGTCCCATTACCCATTTCCCAAGTAGATTTTACGCGATTTGGAGTAGGTAAGCAGACACGTGGGAGCTCCAGGGTGCATGGCAGGCCTGACGTGCGCTTATCATTTTGACGGGAGCAGGCCACGTCTCGTCACGCGACCCCACGTCAACTCTTTATTTCCCGGGCATAACACATTCAATTACCAATATACCCCTTTTTAATTATGTAATTACTAATATATCTGCAACTATGTATATAATTTAAGTTACCAATCTGTCCCTAATGCTAAAAAAAACAATTAGTAACCATTGAGATTTTAAAATTTTGAAGTAGTTAATATTACCATTTTGTCCATGTGTTTGTTGCAAAATAAATTGATTGAATTTATCAATTGAAACCCAACAAGAGTGTATATTCCAAAACCATAATGCAATCGTTTGAATTAAACCAACAGGTTTTAAAGGGCGAGAACAAAAAATAGAGTTAAAATCACTTCATTGTCATTGTCAGAAATCTCATTCAAAAATATCAAAGCCAATTAATTGTCATTGTCACAATTCTTATTCAAAAATATCAAAGCCAATTCAATCTCCATAGAGCAAAAATATGAGGCTCTGATTGTGGTCATAAATCTATGATCAGTAATATATACATAAAGCAAAAATATGACTAGTATTCGATTTGTCCTAGGTGACCTGAAACATGAGGCTTTAATTCTGGTGCTTCCTATACTCCAAACCCTTGATGATCTCCAAGAGTTATGACCTAAGACAGAGCAACTCAATAACTTCCTCTAAAAATGTCCACAAACTTATAATACATACAGTATACAAATAATTAACCAGCTTTACACAGAATTTCCCAAAAAAACCAATCAAAAACAAGTCATCTTTCACTCAAAACCACTCAAATTCACCTCAGAATGTCCACAAACTTATGATACATACATTATACAAACAATTAACCAGTTTTATAGAAAAAATCCAACAAAAACCAGTAAAAAAACAAGCCACTTTTCACTCTTTGCCACCTCAAATTCACCTTAGAATATCCACAAACTTATAATACATACAATATACAAATAATTAACCAGCTTTACAAGAAAAAAACAAAAAAACCAACAAAAACCAGTAAAAACAAGCCACTTTTCACTCTTTACCATCTCAAATTCACCTCAGAATGTCCAGAAACTTATAATACATACAATATACAAATAATTAACTAGCTTTAACCCCCCCCAAAAAAAAAAAAAAAATTCCAAAAAAACCAGTAAAAACAAACCACTTTTCACTCTTACCACCTCAAATTCACTTCAGAATGTCCACAAATTTATAATACATACATTATACAAATAATTAACCAGCTTTATTGAAAAAGTTCCAACAAAACCAGTAAAAAACAAGCCACTTTACACTCTTTACCACCTCAAATTCACCTCAGAATGTCCACAAACTTATAATACATACATTATGCAAATAATTAACGAGCTTTACAGAAAAAAAAAAAAAAAAAAAAATCCACAAAAACAAAAAAACAAGCCACTTTACACTCTTTACCACCTCAAATTCACCTCATATGTCCCAAAATTATAATACATACATAACAAATAATTAACCAGCTTTGCAGAAAAACAAAAAATTCAGAACAAAAACAAGCATTTTTTTCACTTTTTACCACCTCAAATTCACCATAGAATGTCCACAAAGGAATATTTTGTATGAAATAACAATACTACTTGCATTTAAGATAGAGGAAATCAATGACCTCAAGAATGCCTTACCTTATATGATCTTCGGGTCTCCTATATTGCCATCTTCACCTGAAATTTGGAAAGTAAAACCTTAAATCTACATGCTTAGGATTATCATATATTTTTAAACCATACGCTGTGCAGGAGGGTTATTTTGACTCATCAAGCATTCATAAGAATAGATTCCAGATTCAACAAACCACCAATAGAGTTGTTTGAATTTAGCAACATATCAATTATTGAATTTCACTAAATATAAGCACTAATAAAAATATATGGAAAAATCACGTTCAAATTTTATAAAATAGATGAATGCATAAGATATGAAAAAGAAATAAAATAAAGGAAACAAAGGTACACTACAGAATCATTACACCCCTACAATAACACAAAAATGTACACAACAGCATCTTCATGCTTGACAACGACATCTGAATGAAGTAGCCAAACCACATTGGGACCATGAAGACCATAATAGAAGAGTTTGCTTTAGAATGAAATGAGTTGCTTCAGGAAAATGATATATCATCAAAAGAAAAATAAAGAATCAGCTTTAGAAAAGAAAAAAACCCATCCCAGATAACTAAACCATATAAAAAATAAAGAATGAGGATACAACTAAAGAGGTAAAAAAAAAAATCTCCCCTCAACAAGGACAGGTCCAATAAAAAACAAAAGAAAGAACCTTTACACATTCTAGCTAACTAAACCACACCACACCACTCATTACCTCCCTGAGCACTATCCTCCCAACCATTATGTAAAAACCAAACCATCAAATCAGAATACTAGGCCAGCAAAAAATCCCCCACACCCCACAGAAGAAAGTTTTAGGTGTTATATAACTGAGTAATATCTACTCTTATCTTAACTGGTACCAAATCATTAGTTCAAAAACTAAGCAAAAAAACTACAACAAATTGGAACTTAATACAATACAAGCTAAAGCAGCATAATTTGATTTTTTTGGGTAATGCTTATGAGAATTCTTAAAAATCCTTCACTTTGGTTTGGAGTATTGAAAGATGTGGACAAAATTTCTTCCATAAAAAATTATTTATTACTCTAAAAACACCTTCCTTAAACTCCCATGAAAACCTATTCTCAACACCGATTTTCAAGTACATCCAGAACCACAATTCTAACAATTAAAATCTAATTTCACAATTTTCAATAATTTCAATGTAAAATAAATGGATTAATGATTAATTGAATAAAAAATACCCATTGAATAAACAATGCTCCATTACTCTTTTTCCACTGTGAGATTTGTATGAAGTAGTGAAAGCACATACAATAACAACAACAACAACAACATACAAGATCACAGTCAAACCATGAACATAAGGAATTAATTTATACAAACATGCACATATTCTTTCTTTTATTGTAGTATGGAGCAATCCTCCCAGTTCTGCTCTCAACAACCACCAAACGGCTTGTCCTTCCTCTTCCTAACAAACGCAGAAGCTTGCTTCCAATAAAGCTCTTGCACTTGGGAATTAGGATTACTTTATTAAGCACAAAGTTTAAAGTACACCATTCAGCTGATGAAATTGAAAAAAAAAAAAAAAAAAAAAAACAGAGCTATGGTTTAAGCCCATTTGGCCAATAGGGACATGCAGCCAGCACCAAGCAGAAGAGAAATATTGACTGCAATTTGAAGCCCTTTATTGGTTTGAACCTTTGTGTTCATGAAATCAGCAGCAAGAAGATCCACAAGAGACATATATATTAAGATCCCGGCTGATGCTGCATTAAAAATCCCTTCAACAATTAGAGCTGTGGGACTATTCTCTTTTTACACATTTGATATTCCTATCCCGATCGCTATTCCAACTGGGGTTGTCAATGAGAAGAACAACACCATAATTGCAATCGCTCTAGACTTGAATTTTGCCTACATAAATCAAACCAATTATAATAATTCAGATGTGTCTCTTGGGAAACCAAAGGATCAAATTGAAGGACCAGGACTCTGATCTCATGGAAGTTTAAATAATACCTGAGCGATACAACCTCCCAGCCCCATGCCTTCAAAGAACTGGTGGAAAGTCAAGGCAGCTATCAGAGGCCTTATAGTTTTTGGACTTTCGGATGCACCCAATGAAATCCCTATTATCACTGAGTGCACTACAATTCCCAACTCCAAAACCTATCATCAAGATTCATATCATACACACAAATTTTTGTTAGAGTGGACCAAAATAAAAACTAATCACACACTAATATTTTTGTCCATTAATATTTTTGTCAAAGTGGGCTAACATCCAGATATTATATACATTAGTATTTTTTTAAATAAAATTGAGCGTGGGCCATCCGCCCCTGATATCATAACTATAACCATATGATATGATAGTATTGTTAACAGATTCAAAATCAAACCTGAGATATGATACGATGTCTAAGAAGCTCTGAATCAGCCGAAGGGATGGCACCATGAGAGTGTCCATGAGTTCCATGAGTATGAACATGAACATGATCTTCATGCGGTTGAACCATCTCTTCATCTCCAGGAAAGTTTCCGGGTTTAGACTTATTGAAGTGAGACTTGGTGTAGTAAGAAGTTGCAGAAGCATCCACCATCAGAGTTCCAATCGTTGCCATCATCGCAACAAATCCTGTAAAAGGGAATTTTCCCCATGGATTTTCATTCAAACATGGCGATGTCAAATTCTCGAACGCATCAGGAAGAACGTGGATGAACCCAGTTGAGAGTATAACTCCTGCAGCAAAGGCCTTGATCACGAAGAAAGTATTCTTTTCCGGACGTAAAGCTTCAAAGGATTTTCCCAGAATCGGAAGACAAACTCCAATAGCTCCTGCAACAAGAATCGAGGCGATGGCTCCAACTTTGTATTTGAGTGCCTGAGTCTTGTCGCGGTCTTCTTCATCATTATCACATGTGCACTCTCCAAGAATCAAGGAAGGAAGAACTAAAAAGATGACAATACAAGCAAAAAGCTTGTAAAGTGGAAGATGACGATCAAGAAAGTTGATGCTCATAATTTAGAACTTCGAAGAATGAGGATTATGATAACATAAAATGGTCCAAAACTATGTCCACTATATTTATAGAAGAAAGAGAAATTCAGATTCTGTAATTCTTTATATGATGATATCCATGGTGAAATCATATAGGAAGTAATACTAAAATTGAAGTTGACTATGAGACTTTAGGAAATTGCATAGTAAACAAAAAGATGTGGAAACATGTCGACATAATAAGCTACAAATAAGAAATTTCAAAGCATTCCCATTGAAGTCTATGGTTAAAATAGTAAAGTCAACTACAAGATGTCGAAATTATGTGTAATGGTTTAGTAGCATCGAATTTCCCAGCTGGCTGGCCATCTATATCTTAAAAATCTTTATTAATTAGCCTTTTGTATTTTACAATTGCTTGGTGTAGAATTCGACCTTTGTTAACTTTAAAAATTAAAAAAAATACCCTAGTCACCCAATGGGACAGTAGGCCACCATTGGACGGCAGCCAACAGTCATTGGAACAGTGTATAATCGGTTGGATCTAGTTGATCGGAAGCCGATAGGCCTTTTCTGACTAGATCCATCGTGCATCTGGCCATCGTTAATGGCTAAAATCTATCCATCAATGATGACCAAAATTTGGTAGTCTTCAACAGTCAAATAGATCTAGTCGTTAACAGTCAGATCTGGTAAGAACCTGGCTGTCAACAGCCAGATCTCTGGCCATAGATCTTGTCGTTTCTAGCTAGATCTATGGTAGATCTAGTCAGAAACAGCCAGATCGACGCACGATTGGCTAGATCTGACTGGTTGTGTGTCATTCCGGTGTTGACGGCAATGCCGACGATCAACAGTGGTTGCTAGCAAGCAGTAGTAGTCTTGGGTGGATTAATTTTCATATTAGAAGGAGTAAAAGGTAATTGTTTTGTTTTGTATTTTTATCTGGCTAATTTACTGCTATTATTCTGAATCCTAAACTCTAGGATCCAAGGCTTGTATATTGGCTATTTATACCCAATTGTGAAAAATATTGAAGCTTTTCTCCTTCACATCTTTTGTTTCCTGTTACTTGTTTGTTTTCTACTCATACTTGAAACCGCATGCTTTCAATTCATTAACAAATACAAATTATTAATTTCTTCTATGAATTATTTCAAATTATGGCTTTTTACTGGGAATTTATAGAGATTTTTTTTTTTTTTTTTTTTAATTCAGAAATCTCTCGAACTCATTTTACAAACTCAAACTCAAAACTAAACCCCCTAAATATTTGTTTTCAGCCAACCCCCGAATGTGTATGAACGAACCACAAATTGTCAAATTCATCCAACTAACCCTTTATGTTTAAAATAATATATTATCAATACCCTCTTATGAACAAGCTTTTGATCATATAGTTGAATATAACNTTGAATATCGAAAACAAGAGAAAAAAATTATGTATGGTGAATTTGATAATAAGTTCTCTATCATATTTGTTTTCATAGATTGCAATTTTGACTACTATTTTTGTTTGAAGAAAAGTGGTTGACTCAAAATTTAAATTATTCATTAGAATAGAGAGATTTTTCAATTAGTGAAAGTTTAAGTTTAGCCAAGTTCATTAAACTCTTGCGGAAAGTGTTGATTGTGTTCATCGGTGCTTGTGGGCATTGTTTTAAAACCCGGCCTGGCGTAGCCGGTTGAACTGGGACCCGGTTGGTGAGTCGGGCCGGGTGAGGCTCAAAACTGCTTATATCAGTCTGCCCACTTACACCTACGGTTGGACCGATGCACTGTAGCACTCGCCGGTCCAACCGTTATTTTTAAAAAAACCGGATCAGCTAATTTATAAAATTTTAAATTAAACTCTAAATTCTAAAACAATAAAAGCTCCCTATCCTAAAGCAAATATCAACATTATCCCCCATCCCCACCCACCAGTGCCCCCCCGACATTTCCCACACTTTGGTGTGAAAGTTGTCTTAAATTGAAAATCTGAAATCTTCATTGTTCCACCGGAGTCTCCCTTTCACCGTTGAATCTCATCGCTTCAGCCTTTATCGTCAACTGCTTACTTCATCGTCAGCTGGGGTACCACGTATCTCCTCCCATTTCGTGATCTTCTCTATCCTCTCACACTCTTCTTCACCGCCGATCTATGATGTTCATCCATCGTCGTCAATCTTCTCGGAGCTACACAGTCGATCTCGTCTTCTTCTTGCCCAGGAATTATCGCCTCTTCCCCTCACATTGCTTGAATCTCAGCTCTTCATAGTTACACTGTTCACAATCGAGCTCCACCTCTCTGACGGTCAACTCAACTGTCAATGGCAGCTCATCTTCACCAGCACCAGGTAACTATCACGGTGTCACCTTACTGATGTACATTCCACTATTCCCAAGAAATGTCCATAGCGAGAAATAAACAAATCTAAATTTTGTGGCATTGTGATTTTGTAGACAATCAATGATGTTATGCTGGGAGTGACTCAGGCAGGGTTGCCTCGGTATCTTAATCGAAAATATGGTGAGTGATGAGAATGCAAAATGTCATATTTACCTCCCCTTAATGTCTAGTCTTTTATACTTATTTGCTGCCTAAATGTACTCATTATTATTCTATTTTGGTTTAGGATGCAAATGGAGGCGTTAAATGCAAAACAGAACTAATTAGGTGAATTCAGATAGTTTTGACATTGCTTCGTAATCTGGGCATAACTTTCTCATCCGAGCTCCGATTGAGATGATTCAAAATGCTATGGAACCCTAAGAAAGAGATCTACAACTTTCATGTTTTGAGTTTGGAGAGATACTCGCTGAATCAAGGTTTTAATTGGGCTTGAAATTAACATACCTGCACTACCGACGTTCTAAAACATTCTGCCTTGTCATGAAATTCAAATAGGCAGTTTATTATTGGAAGATTTGAAGACCTATTGCACGCAAATTACAGCTGGACACACCACTTTCCTATTTTGTATTAAGACTTTATTTTATTTTCCATTACTCAGATTAGGATAAAGGTTATTTTGGGATTTTAGAATATTTTTAGGAGATTTAGATTTAGTAGAATTAAAATTTGAATTGGATATTGAGAGAGGGAGATCGGATTAGGGATAACAGAATATCACACACCCCTCTCTCTTCTCTCTTCTGAAAAATTCATTTTTCTTGAGTTTTTTTTTTTTATAGCCATGAGTGGCTAAACTTTTAGAACTTGGTCGAAGGAAACGGAGACCTCGAAATCAATAAAACTGTGAGATCTATCTGTTTTTAGTGTTCAATTTATGTTTTGAGTATTGGATGTTCTTCTATGCATATTGTCATGATTGTTGCGTTTAATTACTAGGAGTCCTACTAGTTTATTATTTGTTGCAATCTACTGCTAAGTTAGATATCAAATCCGTAATTGTTTGATCACTTTATTTGTGAGTAACTAAGAGTTAAGAATTTGCTACGTTAGGAATTATTAATTCTTAAGAAGAACATTTGACTTAATTAAATTCAACCTCTTGTGTTTGTGTTGTTTAGCTTCATCGATCTCTCTAGGTCTTAAGGCTGCCACTAGATTAAATCTTTAGCGCTTGTCTAGGGTTGTTTAGTAGTAAGGTTAATTAGATCACTTGTTTCTTAATTAATTACAACTAACGAGAGATAGGAAAATAGTTCCAACGATGAATATTCAGGGTATGAATTGATTTATTTTTGTATCGATGATCAATTATAAGATTCCGATGGTGGATGTTGACCTAGACCAAGTTTCGTTATTTGATTGATTTTGATAGTTTAATTTGAATTGTTTTTCCTAAAATTATTTCTGTTTTACTCAAAACCCCCAGCCTTGTTCACGTAACATTAAACTCGGTTAGACACTCTTTGTGGGAACGATCCCTACTCACACTAGTACGTGTATTTTTTAGGGTTTTAATTCTGGGTACCTACGACAGCACGTCAGTGAGCTAAATATAATTAATTAATATATAAAATTATGTTATTGAAGTTTGATGATGAATGATATGAGTTTGTATAATTTAAATTCTTGCTTCCTCCCGTGTGACTTAGATTCTTGCTTCCTTCCATAGTCAGATCCCATTCATACATTTTTTAAATATTATTATAACTCATAAACCAGCTTAGACATATCCATAATGAAACATTGCAGGGGAGAGTAATAAGGTTGATAAGGGATCGTCAGAAAGAAGTAACAATCTTCCAAAAGAGTATTCATCTTAGAGCAGCCTTCTTTATGAACCTTAGGCCAATTCCAAGGATTCAAGTGAGTGTCCAATACCAGTTCATATTTAGTGATTTATGTTATGTTTTTTGACAGGAAAAGCAAATATTAATTTATACAAGTTTAAATTCATTTATTACAAGATGCCATAATTATCTAATTCATTGACAATGACAAAAGTGTATCAATTAGCTGGTGTTTAATTAAACATTTCTCTTAGTAAAGCTGCGTGCTCTATCTAATCCCTAATGAGAGTTAAGACAGCTAAAGAGGAAACCATTCTAAAGTAGAGCGAGCGGGATTGATTATTCAGCCTCAGGTTCTTTTCTAAACAAACCACCAACTTTTTTCTCTATAATATTCTCCCTATACCATCAAATTCCACTATCTACTCTATGCACAATCAAGTCAAAACTCAACACCCTCTTTGCCCCACTCGTACCTAGTATTAAGTTCAACTACAAATTTCTTGCTAAATTTCAAACTCTTGTTATTGTCATGAAAATATTTTATCAGAATAACAAACCGATTGTTTTAAATAATTTAAAGTGCAATGGCGGCTATATCTCAATGTTAGGGTCAAATTAAACTGCCCAAACCAAACCTTAAAGTTCTAGAAGCGATGGGTGACTCAATGATTATGTAGTAATAAGGGTTAATTATTAATGATGTATATTTACAATGCATGAGTATTTGGTACAATGCATGAGTATTTGGTTGATTGAGGTTAATTGCCACAATGCATGATTATGTAGTAATAAGGGTTAATTATTAATAATGCATATTTACAATGCATGAGTATTTGGTTGATTGAGGTTAATTGCCACAATGCATGATTATGTAGTAATAAAATAATAAATTAATAATAACTTATTATTAATAAGGGTTAATTATTAATAATGTATATTTACAATGCATGAGTATTTGGTTGATTGAGGTTAAT